GAATATACTTAAAAGTATAAATGTACTATAAGCATACTATGTGAATTTCAAGTGTATTTTCAGTGCCTTTAAGAGCACTTTTTTCTGACCTGGGAGCTGCTGCGGTAAATAAAAAGTGCAGAACACTGGCTAACCATAGCCCCAGTTTGTCCCTCTCATACATACCGTAGCTCATACATGAACGATTCATTCCTCTATCCTTTATTCCTCCTCCTTTATAGGACACAGGATGCAACTGTCAGGCCAAAGCTGATCCATCGTCACGATAAATTAAATATTATAGCTGATGTTAGGCAGAAGTAGGATAGCATATTTATATGTTTGCACTAGGAAGGAATAGTTCAAGGTTTGACACCCTATGGATAAAAGCATCACACTCTTATTCAGAGTGAGTGTCTCTCTTGTGCTTTCATTTAAGCCTGGTTGTTACTCAGATGTACGAGTGTGTGCTTGGAGGGACATGCAGGAGACATTTTCAAATATGTCAAAATAATAAAAAATGTTAGTTTGAAAATATGCTTTTTTTCATTGAAGAGATGCCATCTGTGATAAAAATGATCACAGTCCTTGAGGCGTCAAATAGCAAAGCTGAGATGGGAGCTTTGAGAGTCTTTGCTGCTTTTCTTGCCAGATGCTATCGGAGGCTCGTGGTAAACAGCATGCTATACTTCAAATGAAGATTAAAGATGAAGCACAAACTTTTTATTGCTACATAAAAAGACATTGTCTCACACAGTGTAATATTAATCCGCAAGCAATGCCATTGTATAAATGTACTTTGTTTATGGATTAGAAATTCAGAAAGCAGTGGTAACATGTAGAGATGACAATAAAGCATGTTTTATACTACAAAGCTGGATCTTTTAATGAGGAGAGAGCTTTCTTATTTTTTCCCCTTGTGACTATCATGAGATGCAGAAATTCAGCATGATAAAATCCTAAAAATATCTCTGAAGCAGGCTACAGACCACTCTGTCCCATTGCAAAAACGTGCTGAGTAATTGACGTTGAATAATTGATGTTCTCCCCAGCTCCCTATTCATTTTCATGAACGCTGAGGGGACTGTTCAGAAGGGAGGAGATTAGGAGGAGAGGCCGGTTTTATCAGTCTACGGAAGTAACATGACAGTTATTATGATGATTTAACTGCAAATTTATAAAATTTCCCAGTGTATGGTGGCAGAGCAGCTCAGAGAAAGTATAATAGCGTGTGATTTTATTTTAAAACCATGATGACAGGGTGCGTAATTGTTCTCTATACTGCAGGAGAAAAAAGTACAATGTAAGCAAGAGTCGGCGTCATCAAATAGCCTTTAATCAACTCTGACACTGAGTCAATATTATGTGACAGAAAACATGTCACTGAGGAGCTCAGCCTGAAATCCTCCAATAATTGCCTCATGTGTCGTAAGACAAAGTCAAAGATCTTGGATTGAAAGTCATGAAAGGAACTCTAGAAGCTCAGATGAAAAAGAATACGGTACTCCAGGTGTCACCGTTTTCCATAGCAGATACAATTTAGTTACAATCAATAACGTTCTTAAGTAAGAGCAGAAGGGGTCTCATGTTGTGCTGGGTTTAATTTGGTAGCTGTGTCAGTGGTCACAAAGAATCACATGTTAACAACCTGCCATTACTAACTGGTGAAAGAGGTATTCAGATCCATGTAGTAAGCATAAGTAGCAATATCAAATATATAAATACTGCATTTTAAAAGTCCTGTTATTGAACTTAAAAGTGCACTAATTTACTTTTTTGAGAAAGTGATGTTTCATCATTAATTGCCTGTTAAATATAGGTGTGTTCACGCCTTCACCTTTACCCGAGGAAGACCATCTGTGGTGGAAACATTATGTCAGTCCTGTCCACATGAAATTAAAGTAGTTTGTCTTTTTTGTGTGCATAATTGGGTCTCTACTTTACTGTCTCTCTTTATCAGGCTACACCAATGAGTGTGACTAGTAACATCACCAAAAAAGCAGTATGCAACCAAAACCAGCTCAAATGTGATTGATGCATGGTAAAAAATAATTAGTGGTGGCTAAGTCCACTTCTTATATGCAGTCTCTGTTCACAACATTAGCTTGGTAAAGGAATTAGCAAACGACAAACTAGTTAGTATCAATTCTTCAGTGGTCCAAATAAAATATAGGAACATTACAGTACAGTAATGTTATTCTAAATATGGTTGTAATTTATTTTCCAGCATTCTAAATTTGACAGATTTCGCTGATATCGTAAGATACAAACCACAGCAATGGTACTGGCTCAACTACACTGACACCAAGTAAGCATCCAGGTTTTCCTGCATCAACAACTGGAAAAGAATAATTTCCAGCTTTTAATATGAGTCAGTACCAATGTCAACATTCCCATTATGGACATACAACCATGCAAGAGGTTATGATATCAGATCCAGATAGGCCAAAACTACACTCAGGGAAAAGTACTGTTACTTTGCAAAAACAAGTAGTCAAGCAGAAGTAAAAGTGGTCATCAAAATAACTACATATATATATATATATATATACACACACATACACATTCACACACACACACACACACACACACTATACATACTCTATATTTATTTGTGATGAAGTTACAAGTCATCATCTCCTGATTAGATAACCTGCCACATACACTCACCTAAAGGATTATTAGGAACACCTGTTCAATTTCTCATTAATGCAATTATCTAATCAACCAATCACATGGCAGTTGCTTCAATGCATTTAGGGGTGTGGTCCTGGTCAAGACAATCTCCTGAACTCCAAACTGAATGTCAGAATGGGAAAGAAAGGTGATTTAAGCAAATTTGAACGTGGCATACGGCCAGACGGGCCTTCTGAACACTGTATAGTGGAACACATACCACTGAGGAAACTGTACTGGACCTACACTCACCTAAAGGATTATTAGGAACACCATACTAATACTGTGTTTGACCCCCTTTCGCCTTCAGAACTGCCTTAATTCTACGTGGCATTGATTCAACAAGGTGCTGAAAGCATTCTTTAGAAATGTTGGCCCATATTGATGGATAGCATCTTGCAGTTGATGGAGATTTGTGGGATGCACATCCAGGGCACGAAGCTCCCGTTCCACCACATCCCAAAGATGCTCTATTGGGTTGAGATCTGGTGACTGTGGGGCCATTTTAGTACAGTGAACTCATTGTCATGTTCAAGAAACCAGTTTGAAATGATTGGAGCTTTGTGCCATGGTGCATTATCCTGCTGGAAGTAGCCATCAGAGGATGGGTACATGGTGGCCATAAAGGGATGGACATGGTCAGAAACAATGCTCAGGTAGGCCGTGGCATTTAAACGATGCCCAATTGGCACTAAGGGGCCTAAAGTGTGCCAAGAAAACATCCCCCACACCATTACACCACCACCAGCAGCCTGCACAGTGGTAACAAGGCATGATGGATCCATGTTCTCATTCTGTTTACGCCAAATTCTGACTCTACCATCTGAATGTCTCAACAGAAATCGAGACTCATCAGACCAGGCAACATTTTTCCACTCTTCAACTGTCCAATTTTGGTGAGCTCTTGCAAATTGTAGCCTCTTTTTCCTATTTGTAGTGGAGATGAGTGGTACCCGGTGGGGTCTTCTGCTGTTGTAGCCCGTCCACCTCAAGGGTGTGCGTGTTGTGGCTTCACAAATGCTTTGCTGCGTACCTCGGTTGTAACGAGTGGTTATTTCAGTCAAAGTTGCTCTTCTATCAGCTTGAATCAGTCGGCCCATTCTCCTCTGACCTCTAGCATCAACAAGGCATTTTCGTCCACAGGACTGCCGCATACTGGATGTTTTTCCCTTTTCACACCATTCTTTGTAAACCCTAGAAATGGTTGTGCGTGTGAAAATCCCAGTAACTGAGCAGATTGTGAAATACTCAGACCAGCCCGTCTGGCACCAACAACCATGCCACGCTCAAAATTGCTTAAATCACCTTTCTTTCCCATTCTGACATTCAGTTTGGAGTTCAGGAGATTGGTCTTGACCAGGACCACACCCCTAAATGCATTGAAGCAACTGCCATGTGATTGGTTGATTAGATAATTGCATTAATGAGAAACTGAACAGGTGTTCCTAATAATCCTTTAGGTGAGTGTACATTAACGTGGGGATGCCCGCCTTCACTGGCCCTGAGGGGGTCGATTTTAGAGGCGACGTCATTGACCAGCTTGCATAAATCACCTACAACAGCAGCTTGACAAAACTAGCCACTTTCCTCCAGCTACCTATCAAGAAGTGCAATTACCACCAGACAGGTACTGAATGTGATTTCACTTTTTCAGGTGAAACTTCATTCAAAGGGTGTGGAGTGGGAGTTTACATTCCTCATTTAATCTATTTTATCCCCTACAAAGGATGGCATGACTCACAGAGTAGCAAGTAGCAAGAAAGACTGACAAATAACATAAAAAAATGTCCTGCTAGAAATCACCCCACTTATTCTACACTGTAGTACACTTTATGCTTTTATCGCTTTATACCGTAATGGGAACCTGCACAACAGCTAAATCAGTGTATACTTGCTTTGAAAGCGTGTACATACTAACCCACTTTAAATTCCAGCCCGAATTGATCACGCACACTTATAACTGTGTGATGGCATACACATATCTTGTTCTGATTACCTGCTTGTATATAGTATTTTTATCTTACCTACTAATGCCTACATTCTTATTTAGTCCCTGTTCTTTCCTACGAACATCAAACTCTGATTACCCATCAGCATACTGCTCTCATTGGAAAAATACAATTCCACATACAAGGAAATTGCCTCGGTATATTGGTGCTTTTAAACATAAATATAGAAATATAAATATAGATAAAGTAAAGCGTTCAAACATGGACAAAATAATAATACAAATAGAAAAATCTACAGGATTAAGTAAAATTATTAACAAAGCAATGTGCAAAAAAACATTCACAGTAAATATGTGCAGTTTGTAGTAAAAAAGTAAAAAATTTATAAACGATGTATATAAAATGTGTAGTGTGGGAAGAGAAAATAAACCTAGACCTCAGGAGAAGGGGAAAGGGCAAAGAGGTGGTGTGTGATAGTGTGTGTGTGTGTGTGTGTGAGTGTTTCTTTATTCCAGACTCAGAGAAAGGGAGGAACAAGGACTGAGGTGTAATCCATTCACTGGACATCTGGCATGCAGCCCAAAATAGAACCAAGAATCCTGGTGCAGTAACAGGGAAAAGGAGTTGGCATAACTTTGTTCATTTCAGTGAGTAATGGTGTTCCGAACATGTTTATTGTTTTGATCTTGTGTAAATTGAATTTCGATGGTAATGGGATTGCTAATAGAAAGATTTTTTGTGTTCACAGTCTGTGATGAAGTCGGCTGTACTTGTCTGGATGAAAGAGATTGTCAGTCAACTTTTTTTTCAGTTGATAAAGGAAACCCAGTTATGCGCAGATATGTGCGATATGTCCTCAGTCTTACTAAACTTAACACAGGCCTGTTTCAACTTAATCTTTGTGAGCTAATATCTCCTTTCCTCTTGCTCATGTTGACTGGAATACAATGTATTATGTTCAATAAAGCAGTTGTCATACACTGCTGGGGAATTGGGAATTGTTGGATCTCTTCCCTGCTTAATATGAAAAGTGCAAAGAGATGACTTTTGTTATGAATTGGCGCTACATAAATAAAACTGACACTGAATACATTTGAAATAAGAAACCTGGATTTTAACATTTACCTAGCCAGGTAGAACTCCTGAATTCCAGAGTGAAAACAAAAGGCTGCTTATTGTAAAGAGACTCACAAAAGACTTAAAATGCAAAAACAAACTCTATATTGATGTCAAAATGTATCTCTACTCTAATCCTCCATTTCACTGTTCATGACACTTAAATATGGATATAGTTGTAATGATATGATGGGCTCACAGCTAGCTAACATCAAATAGCTCATTTAAAGTAAAATAAATGCTAATTACGAAACTCTGCAGGTAGGAAAGTATTAAGAAGCTAGATAGCTAACTACTGACACACCAGTGTGTGGTAGACTGGACTGGAGCAGCTTCTGCTCCAAGTGATGTGGGCAGACAAGATGTCCAACTAACTTCAAGGTTAGGAAATGGTATGGTCTATTTTAGGGGTGTTTGAAATTGTATTTTAAGTTTCTTCAATATAAGGCATGAACATGGGAAATAAATTGTAATATTTACAAATACAGGTAAGAAAGACCCCCCTGAACTGTTGTTTTTGCCTCTTTTGCCCCCCAATCCCCCCCGTAATTCGAACCATGTCTACGTCCACTAAAATGTGTTTTACTACAGCAAATGCGAGCTCAGCTAGCTTGATACCAATCTTCCCATATAGACGCATGGTCACAACCCTTTGGCGTCAGCTTGTAATGCACAGGAGAGCCCCTTAGCGGCATAGGTCAACGCACTGGGAAAAGCCCTGTAGTGTCATTTTTGAACGCTATTTAAATTAGAATATTTAACAGGAGAAGTTACGCAAGTAACTTTACTTAGTTAATTATGTAAGTTAAAGGGGCAATATGTAGTTTTTTAGCAGCCAGTAGCGGTGCAGTTTTAAGATTGCAAAGAGGTGTGTGCTTGTCTGAGTGCTAATAATAATCTGAAACACAGCAGCTTTCATACAGAGGAAACACAGGCCAAGGCTTTTCACACAGACATGTTCAAGCTCTATTACTTCAATGTCCTCGCTGTGCTCATACAGCCCAGTGAGCCGCATACTTACACAATACTCCCGCAAAAGATGGTAGTGTGACTGTAATTAAACGTTGCTATTTGTGTATCTCTGAGGTGGAGTAGCTCTGTACCAGAGTATCAGAAAAATTACAATAAACCTAAACTGAATGTTACCAAGCAAGATTAAAAAAAATGATCTTATGGGACTTCAGGGGCTCCGTACATGTACATAGCACATGCTTAGCCAAGTAACGTTACACAGTTAAGCTATTTGAAGCTGCCCAGTTACATTACCAGTCCATTAAGGAAAAAGAAAAGTTGATTTGACATGCTAGTTTGTTGTCCTTAACTAGGGTGACCATATTTTGGTTTTCAAAAAAGAGGACAGTGGGAGCAGGAGGTTGGGCCTGGGGGGACTGGTAGATCAGTGGGGGCACCATGGCAGAGTTTAGGCTACTGCCAAGGCTCTATCCACCTGGAGGAGTAACTAGTATAAATTGGTGTTGTAGTATAATATAACATAGTGTAGTAGTAAAATATTAACATTGAATAAAACGACAATAAAAAGATTAATGTTAGTGTAATACTAATATGTATTTATAGGTTAGACTTTGATTGGCTAGGCCTATTTGTAACATTCCAGCTGCTTATAGAGATTCGCCAATTCAACTGATTTGCAAATCAGTTTTCTGTCTTGTTAAGGTTACTAGCTATTAGTGTATTCATTATCATTTCAGATAATAGTATTCTACGTATATAGCTTACCACAAGTATAATATTAATTTCAGCTACAGCAGTCTCATTATGGCACATTGTTCTTATTCATGGTGGTTAGCTTATTAGTTTCAAAAGTTTGCTGTAGCATGTCAGCCTTTTTTTTATGTCCCGCCCCATCCAGTCATTGATTGGTCGGTTCACGAAAAGTGACATTGACGAACAACTTTATGCACACGCTTTGATAAAAAAGCACCCGATCTTCTCCCGACCGGTGGAGAGGGCAGAAAAGAGTAACGTTTCAGCAGCTCATGAGAAGTCCCGGTACGCCGAAAAGTAAAATGTAGAAGTGCCTGTACTGCGTAGCCTACCAGCGAGTACTGGCTCATTTCAAGCACTGCTTTTGGGCATTTTAGCTGTGCTGTTTAGGCACCATGTGCCAATGTTTACAAGCAAGCTGCTGCTGTCTCTCTGCTGTTGCTGTGGTGCGGAGGGTAATGATTGAGATGTAGTTTAGACCAATGGTTGCATGCGAGAATGCGGGAACTAAAGAGAAAGGTCAAAGCAATGTAAAAACGCACACAATGAATGCCGACTGTAGAACGCAAAAGCTGAATCCCGGACATTGTGGGCGAATTAGAAATCCCGTCCAGATGCATTTTTTAGGTCCCAAAACGAGGACATGTCCAGGAAACAGAGGATGTATAGTCACCATTCCTTAGCAAGCATCACTGATAGAATTTCTGGTTAGCCTTTAGCCTAGCATGGAGTCCTGCCGGCTTGGCCACAAATCTTACCATTGTGCACAGAAATGTTAACTTTCCCACCTCCCTTAAAGTGCAAAACATGGAAGCATCCCGGGCTGTGACACTACCAATCAGAGTTATACTTCTTCAGACAAAGCTAATCATGGCATCAGGCACCTGCAAAAGAGCCAGAGGTGACAGTAACACAGACCAGAGATCTCCAGTGTTTCCCACATATAGACTGTACCGCAGGCAGTCAGGCATATTAATGGCTGCAGAGTATACAGCATGTGGTGCACCAGAGGTGTAGGTGTGAATAAAAATGGTGAAAAACAAAATAACCTACTCCCTGATCGGAGGCCAGTGTACTATACTGTCCTTTTATTCCAAAGGTTGAAGAGTAACTGTTTGAGAGCTTGGGCAGGGTGTTCTGAACGTGAAATCAATAAATCATTCTCTCAAATTGAAATACAATGCTCTTGAATAAAGACTATCAACTCTAACAAAAACAGTACCATATATTTTTAGTAATAAAATTATGTTTTCTTCTTTCTTCAACTTATTTCTTAAAATATTTATTTATATAAACATTTTGACTTTATGTAATTAAATTCTGACACTTTTTTCATAATATTATGATTTTATTCTTGACAGCTCTAATAGCTGCTATGATCCACAACTATTAGTTTAATGTGACCAACTCTATCATTCATAGGTATATTTTACAGTAAGAATCATGGTCATTACCATTAAAAAGGTCCCGCAGGTAGATAATAATTTTTGACATACTACCATGCAATAGAGAAAAACACCACACAGTAAACATACCAGCATTAAGGAAAAATGTACAGGACTGTATTTGGTGTTCCTGAAGACTGTGCGCTGGGACTATGAGTTTTACGGTTGTTAAGGGGGATGTGAAACACACAGACACAGCACAGCTGTTGAGCCTACATCATTTTTGAACAAGGAGGCAGAGTGAGTCACTGCTGACCATATGGACCTGTGATCTTTCAAGTCAACATGGAGTGCATCACAAATAGTATTTGTCCGTGCTACCGCAAAATGGGCCAATTACTACAGGTAACTGGAACACTCGATTCATTCAGTGTTAACTTTTCAATTAAGGGCTGTGAAGAGCCAACCCTGAGGTCTGAGAACAGGAGGCCATCAGACTTCACTGTCAAAGCCAGCACAGTGCTCCACAGAATTTTCTGTCAATTTCTATTTCAGATTGACTGTTTTCGACCTCTGGCTTAATTAGTATGTAGCTTCGTAGGTCACTTGCTCACAGTGCTGTGAGCTGGTGTTAGCGGAACACAAATGCACATCCTTGACAGGCTCAGCTGATCACACTGTATATTAGGAAAAATGACACTGAATGTTGCAGGCTGTCATATAAAGCGTTACCAAATAAAGTTTATGAATCTATACATAAACAGTGTACTGTACGAAGCACCAATAGTTTGCAAGCTTTAGGGGATGAACACAAAGGCACCAACAAATAATGGAATAACTAATATAATAGTATATCAGAGAACAGAAGTAAATACATTTACATGTATAAAATGATATACAATCATTTTGCAAGAAGGGCTTACATGCCACTTGCACATAGAGTGGAACAACAGTTTAAACTACCTTTCCCTTAGTACAGTATAAGAACATTTTTTAAATGAACTCCATGAATGACACCAGCTCATTGCTTTGATCACTGTTAAACAGAATTCAATAATTTATCTTTGTCCTGTCACATTATTGACTGTCGTCAGCATTGTTTGTTCTCCAACACTCTAATGTCACACTAATAACACACAGTGTTTGCTATAATAATTGATTCATCAGTAGCTCCCAGCAGTGGATCTGGCCCTCTTCAGATAGCCTGCTGCTTGTTCCCACTGTACACTACCCACTGGTGGAGTTGGAGCAGGCCAAAACAGAGCTATAAGGAGACAGATACTGGGGCTTGTGCTTGTTGGATGGCCAGAAACACGCCTCCAAATGAATGCTAATGCTGCTCTTAATCTGCTGGGTGTATTAGGAACTGTTCAACCCATTCTCCTCCCAGGGCGTCACATATTGAAGCTTGGTGTTGTTTTTGTACGTGTAGGGCTCTGCGGTCAAGTTAGCAAGAATAACTGTGCTTTCTCGTCCCTCTCCTTTCTCCTTCTGTCGCTTTCTGCAGGTGTTTCTGGCTCTGTGCCTGCCGCCCTCCTGTTCCTACACAACATGCGTTGCTACAATTATTACTAGCCCAATTACCATTATTCATTTTCTGTACCACTACTACTTTTACTGTTTGTATTTCTGGATATTGTGTTGGCTGCTCTCTCTTTCTCTCTCTCACTTTTCCTCACCCCCCAACCAGTCGAGGCAGATGGCCACCCACCCAGAGCCGTGGTTCTGCTCGAGGATTCTGCCTCTTAAAAGAAAC